TAATCAGCTACATCCCATCTAGTCAATTAACTTTTTAAACAGCATACCTATTTAAATTGACATCTATAATTATTATATTCACAGTTTGTGGCATCTGCCCAACACACCGAAATACACATACTATATGCTAATAAAGCTGTTGTGGTGTCAATGCGAAGCTACTTACAGTATTGTATCTGATTGGCTACCAAACCCTAACACATAATAGTCAGACCAATTAGAGAGCAGTTTGTTAGTTGAGAGATTGTTTCGACGTATCGAATTCTGCCTTGTAGATATGCGTCGACTTCAACTAATATTGACCAACACACATCAGTGCCATTCACCACGCAGTGGGAAAGCTAACCTCAAATCATTTATTGGTTATTTGTTTCCCGTCAAACAATAAAGCTAAGGCCCTAACATATAACATGCTTGGCCCTGTATCTTGATGATGCAAATGAGCAACACAGAAATTATACAACATAAACATTCAATAGGCAATAATTGGAAAAATACAAATAAATAAGAGAAGCATTTATAGCCGAATATTCACCATGTGCCATAGATGATTTGTGCTAACATTTAAAAGGATCAAAAGGTTTAACTTTGGCATAATTAACTACTCAACGTTGTCATTTGGAATCCGGATGATCATTCGTACTTTTTGTTCAATTATGATTTTTTACGTTTTTAATAGCTTTACCAAAATGAAATCCAAGTTGTTATTCTATTTCTAATTAGGTCAACATATTGAGCCTCACAAAATTACATTTCTGGCCATCTGGTAATAATATTCTGTTTATTGTATTGATAGGAATCAACGCACGAGATAGTGTGTGGGTTATGTATGAAGTCCCGCTAACAAGCGTCAATGGATATAATCATAATACATGACGAATGCTATACTCAAGTTAATGAAAAAATAATTACAATAGTTGTCATGTGACTTCCGGTTTTTGAACATGGTTCCGCGATATGTCCACATTTTTATTCGCCGTAATTTATGTCGAAATTACGAGTGTTCATATGAAATTACAGTACATGTCATTGCATTGAAATTAAATACACAAGGCTGCGGTTAGTTTAGTTATTTGTGTCAGTTTATATTGTGCAAATTAATTGACAACAGAATGAATATCAACCCAATGAGTAATCTTTGTTTATTAAGCATACATTTATGAATTTTTTAATCATTTCAGATTAAAACGATTACGTAAATTAATGTGACATTTTTATGGCAGCATACACTGAGACCTTTAATAAAATTGACAACACACACGAAACCATTGATATGATCAACGATGGCTTTGGGAGTCTACGATTTTCTTTGTTCGAAAGGAATTTACTTTAAGTCTGTGATTTATATCATCCTATATATGAGGCACTTACAGGAAATCAGTTTATTTATTCACAATATATTGCATTACGTGGGTTCGCAGGTGTGAGTGGTCGTGCATTACTTCATCAATGAATATACTGATGTATTCCAACGCACGATACATACTAAATTACTATATGCAGCTTTGAACATACCAAAGCAGCGCACCGATTCTAAAATCATAAATGTGAAATTATGTATTACAATTAATTTTTAGAATACACTCTTATGTAACTATTAAGAGTTTCAGTTGTATGATCACATTATGTACTATATGGTGTTACCTAAAAAGTATTGTGCAAATTGATTTCAAACATTTTCTGTAGTAATAATAAGGTTACGTATTCTAAAAGTAATTGCAAAATGAAAATCTAGTCAGTGAATTTGAAACTAAACAGTGTGCAATCCGTGCAAATCTACTTTGAAGAAAATGTAAATAGTTGTTTTGCATGGAAACTGCCAGCCACTCTAAGCTATATTACGATTGAATATATAAAACTCGACTTTCAGGGACAAAACATTGAATGATGTTATTTCTCATAGCTCCGTGACGATTTAAATTATCGAACATATTTGGATTAGAAATAATGACTCCTGGCAATTCACGAGTTGAAACAAGATCGAAGTGAAAACACGCCATTATATATTCTACACCTCGTATCATTATCTTCATTGACAAAACCAATTATATTGGACACGCAATTTCAATGAATATTTATTGCACAAAAACATGTATAGGGATACTTTAAGGTATGGTTGGTTTAGTGCTATGGTGTATTGTTCGTCCTACATTTGATGGTACTGAAGAACACTGTTGCTTTTTACAATGTGTATGGATGTATTTAATAACTTCTACTATTGAATTGCAACTCAAATTTAGGTTAAGTGTATTTTGATTAAAAAAATGTCTAACATCCGGTGGCTTACGTTTACTATCAATTGATCACGACTATTCATATAACATGTTTTCCTATTGAATTATTTTCAATCCAAATATTACGTATTTTACTTAGGTTGTCAACGATACAACTATATCGCTGAACACATTTATAAAGAGTGTGTTTTATTTTCATGTAATTCAGTTTGGATCCGGACATAAGTGGCTGGATAAATTAATATAAATCTTAAATTTGAATAGTTTCCATGGTAGGATCTCAACCTACCCTATAGTGAAGAGTATGATCGATCTCGACTGGTGATGAGGGTTACAATTCATGCAACGAAATTGAGTTTCAAATTGTATAATTGATATATATTGTTTAATATGATCTTTTGTGAACATTGGTTTGTCACTATTGATACAATCACGACTACTTTTAAACAAACCCGATATATTGTATTTGAGTCGTACTCATAGTATAATATTACATTCGGACGTTTTATAAAAAGAGAATAAATCTTATAATGCTATTTTTTTGTTATTAGTTATATAATATATTACATTAGTCAATGTAGAATTCATTATGGCAATATAGATATCGTCGACTTTCTATAATGTTGCTTTAATAAATTAAATTTATTTTTTCACCTTGTTAGACTTAGTACTCGTTAATTAAACATGCTGATGCAATAATTATCATGGCCTTGTTATGTGCATTAAGACATGAATATAATGTTATTTATAGTTTTATTTAAATTCGTAAAGAATTTTTATTTTATTCTGGACTCTATAATTTAACAAACGCAAACAAAATTAAAATTGCTTTATTTTGCTTTTTGATAGCCCATTGGGAATACCAAGGTTACTGAAATATGACAGACAAAACTGTGGGTCAAAAGCATTTCTTGTTTTGGTCTTTCGTTGTTGTAATGGTCATTTCTTATAGATTTGGTAACCTTAAAGTTTAGATATTAAGAATTTTACTGACATGGAAGAGCTATGGTTTCTCCACCAGTAAACCTATTTCCACATATCACGCAAACAAGAATATCACCAATAAATAACATGTTTATTAAACACTCACCTGCGCGATAATTGTGACAAAAATGATCTGTTTGACGTTTTTTCCGGGATTTGGGTCGCTAAACCGCACGTAACTCCTGCTAAATACGTCACTTTCCTCGGAACGTTAAACAGTTAAAACGCTAGTAAATGATCGTACGTCTGTTAATAGAAGTGGTTTGGAATGGACCTCTTGGTATTTACTACGTTATAAATGACGTAACTATCTATGACTATGACGTATTATCTATATTCCTCATCAAACAGCTAAACAGCACACATTGGACGCCATCAATCTGACATTAATCTAATTATGCAAAGTAGTCTATTAAATAGCAATTTAAATGACTGTCATCGATTAGCGTGTATTTGTCTATAACGTCGTATTTGAGCATTATATGACTTTATAATTGAGAGACGTAAAACTAGAATTTAGTGGTCGGTTCACATCACAGTAGTCAATTAAGATATGGATCAATAATGTTGTATGTAAGGAATCTGTTATTTTGTCGAATTGAATTGATTTTATAATTGCCAACGGCTTTCGATTATTGCGTCGTGTCAAATTATAATACTGTCGGCCAGACTTGTACAACTCCCTATAGACTGAAAGTGAGATATCGGCGGAGATACTCGAAATATTTCAAGATCATTGTGCCACGCTGCTGTAAAGGGGTTATACTGAGTTAAGAGAGATGACTGAATGGACGCTGGCTTACATCGACCAAAACAAACAAAAACCGCAGACAATTATTTTTAATGATTAATAATGTAGGTTACACATCAATTTTAGTACAATTGAACTTCAGGTTGTTAATTTTAAAATAAGTGTTTCTGTGAATTATTCTAACACAAACAATAACTCTGAGTATACCTCTCAGAGACAATTGAAAAAAAAAAACGATAAACAATAACAGTAAGACAAATTGGCTTATAAGCGACAAAAGACCACTATCAATATGATCCCATTCAAATATCGAATATATATGTATGGGCCATCGGATGATTATGTAAATAGTACTTTGACAATTGATGACTTATACAAACCGATTGCAACCATGACCTGGGGAACAACATATCAATGAAATACTGCAACAATTGCACTTTTAAATAATCATAATTGTGAGTTTCCGTGAATGACTGGGCAATCCTACTAAATTATCATTTGCACCAGTAACACAAAACATCTGGACAGATGAAGACAGGTGTCTATGTGCATTCCTGGGCATGTATCACCCTTAACAATGAACCTAATGTTGCTGTGGTGCTTAGTGGTAAATGAATTAGTTACCATAAGACGGGTGCGTTACCTTTTTCTTGGATTCCGCTTGTCTGGCATCTCTGTGTCTCTCCCTCTCTCCTGGTGGTTTTCGACCCCAAATAGCATATCCAATGATGGAATACGTGATAGAAAGTATCACCAGTGGCAAAAAATATTGTAAGATCATCAGAGTGATTGTATAAATTGATCGTTGTATGTTGGTTGGCCATGTTTCCTTGCATACTATGGTCGATGAATTTGAATGAGTGTCTATTTTACTGTTGATGCCTGCAGGAAGACTGATACCACCTGCTAACACCCAAATTATAATCATTATAATGAAAGCTTGTTTGCGGGTCATTCTCGGTCGTAGGGGGTGTATAATCGCGACGTAGCGGTCTAGGCTAATAGCAACCAATGTAAATATACTGATCGAGACGGATACCATTTGAACGTACTGAACCAATGCACACATAACAAATCCAAACGGCCAGTGAAAATTGATACTGTAGTAAAACGTAAGATTAACGCACAATACAGCCATGAGAATGTCACTGATAGCCAGGTTGACGATGAAATAGTTGGTCACCGTACGCATACGCGGGTTCCCGAGTACGATGTAACACACTACAAGATTACCGATAACGGCTAGTAACGATGTACATGCGTAGAGTATCGCGAGTATAACTTGCAACCACAGCGGCTGATAGTACTCCATCATGGGCGGCTCTTGAAAGACAACTACAGAATTATCTTCGGTAGTATTGTGTAACGATAGTACATCCGTGATATTAGCGTTGACAGCTTTCCGGTATGACATTGCCATATTATTATTTTTTTCAAAAACAATACAAGTCTAGAAGTTCAAGTTTCTCAGCTCAGAAAGCCAATATGTTACAGTGATGACGCAGAACTGGCAAGGTGAAGTTACGATGTATATTACCGTTCGCAATTTGAAAACTGACGTTGTAATCGCACTGGCAGTGGTATGACAGTGATAGAGTACATCCACGAGCCCTGCATACAACGTCTACTTACGAACTCCGTTTTTTTCTCGGGGCGTGTTGACCTTGTCAGAACAATCTGCAAACAAATATAGAAAATACTCTAAATTAGCATAAGGACCGGAAGGAACGTAACCATATAATGTTGAATGCATTTTGTTTTTGGAAATTCACATTTACCAGCTCACATGTACAATGGCGTCTTGAATTGGCATATTTTCAGATGAGTTTGTCAGGGGTAAGTAAACGTGACTA